TGCTCAGGTCCCTTCCGACCCTAGAAACTCTGAAACTATGAATTAATATACACTGTCAGCCTATGTCATTGCCTTTTTTTTTAATATCCAAGGGACTCTCTAAATGTAATTCTGTGCTAAAAGTCATTTAGGTAAAGAAATTTCTTTAAGTATTTTAAAAAGCTACCTCTTGAGAAAGGGGAATGTGTGTGTTCATGTGTGGAAAACTTCACCTGTTGACCTGACACTTCTGGGTCCCTGATCCTAATGAGCACATCTGTAATATAAATATTAACTAATACTTATCACTGTTTATTCACTTCTGTGTTTTTTCTGTCCCCTAAATGGAGTCAATTAGTCATTTTTCACTTGGGTTTCTCTTGCTCCAAAGTGAGTTTTTAATAGCTGCAGGAGAATTTTTTTTTTAGTTGGACCAACTACATGGTTAGGATAGACTTAGACAAGCTTTCAAATACAGTACAATCTTCAGGTTATTTTTGTAATTTCAAAAAAAGCTTATTTTACAACAATTAAATGTTGACTTACCAAGTTATCTCCTCATCTAACAGGTAGCTTTTTAAAAAGCATTTTTGCAAATTTTTGGCTCATGCCTATAGGGAACAAAACTAGTTTTTCATCGTGGTAAACAGTGAGCAGATATATTCAGTCTGGGCTGCTTGACTTGCATGCTGGTTTCCATGAGGTTCCAATAAGGGAGGTAGAAAGGAGAATGTTTGAAAGTTAATGCCGTCTGTCCTTGCCATTGTGACTTGTTACTGCATGGCTTCTTAAGGCGAAAAGCGATGCGTGTGAAATTGAGGCCATGTAATATAAAGAAAAACATTTAGCTGGTATGAATTAGCATTGTTTGTACATGCTTATTATATCCAAGAAATGTGGCTTTCGTACAACAGAAAAGTTATCTGCTCAAATTTAAGAGTCTTGTTTGTTCTATATACTATATTTCCTCCTCTCTTTCTTTTCCTGCAGTTTGTGGCAGCTGGAGACCATTTAGTTCACCACTGTCCAACTTGGCAATGGTAAGTAAAAGTGAATGAGCTACAGAAATGTAGGGGAGCACCAAGGTAAGTGTTTTGGCCTATTTAAATCATTGTTTAAATTGCTATTTAAATAGCATTAGTCACCCATGAACCTCTCTTGGCTACACTGATTATAAAGAAAGGGAAATACTGAGATCATGCCCACCTAAAATGTTCTATGACAGCAGCTAAAGCAGGCGTAGGCAAAGTGCTGTCCTCAGGCTGGATCAGACCCATGGCAGACTCCATTTCCCCGCAGCCCCTGCCTGCATTGTTTAGGCCAGTCTCTATGGAGACCCCAGGAGCTGCAGGGCTGTGACAGCACAGTGCCAGGCAGAGATGTGGGACATTTTCTGGTGCTTTATTTTTCAGTGGGAAACTTTCCATTTCTAAAAATTCATTGTTTCATAAAATTCGTTAGTAACAATGACTGGATGCCAATACAATATTAGGCAAGCTTGGCAGTTTCAAAGTTGTAATTAATGTTTTTCAGGTGATTATCCCTAGGAAGTGTATGATCATGTACATATATGTTTTATTGATTTGTAAACAGGAGGGTAAATATACTTACATAATAATCCAAACCAAAAATCAAGTGATGAATTCACTTAATTGGCTGTGCAGGTCAAATCAAAACCAAAGCTAAAATTCTTATTTCATCTCAGACTGCAGGTGACAGCAAAACTAAAACTGTGATTTAAATTTTTGTTTCACTTTCAGTTCATCAAACACACAGAGCAGTGTCTCATTTCTTGTCTTGAGTTGGGGACGTTAGAAGTATTTGAATAAGATCTGTTAGTTTTTTAGTGCTTTTGGTTTGAAGTAATAATAATAGTGCCTAATCAGAAAAAAATTAGTGTGTGGCATCATTCTGGTGAAGTTCAAACCACTGAAGGAAGAAAGTTGGTAGATGTCAATATTGCAGGCAGGAGTATGCTAACAACATAACAAGAATGAAGAAACATTTAATAACATGTAGAAATTGTCCTGAAAGAATACAAGCCATATACAGAAAGCTAGTACAGCAAAGTGGTGGAACAATATCATCTGAGAAGTCAACTTCAGGAATTCTATGTAAGTAAACAAATTAATTTGTTAAACAGCACAGAGTATACACTAGCATCTATATTGTTTTAAAACATTGTTTTAAAAGTTGTTAATGCAACTTTGGACTATTATTATTATTTTTTTAAATATTTGTATCCTGCTTTTCTGCTTGCACTAAGCACCCAAAGTGGTATATGTCTGTGTGTATGTGTGTGTATGTATGTATGTATGTATAGTTAAGCCTAAGCCACTTTTGGTGGGGGGGGTGTATGTATATATGTGTGTACACGTGTGTGTGTGTGTATGTGTGTATATACACACATATATATATACATATATACATACATACATACATATGGGGGGGGTGTATTTAAACTGAGGAGAGCGAGCTTGGTCCTCTGGCTGATGGCAGAGGTCAGACTATACTTCCCTTTGACTCTGCAGTCCCAGAGTAGCTGAGTGTTCTTTCTGGCAGGAAGTAGGGAAGCAAGCTCCCTGCCACTTCTCCCTTTTCTGATGGATGGGGCCAAACTAGAATAGGCTAAAATAAGTATCTTTTCCTCTTTTTGTTGGAGGAACTTGGTAGCTCAAGTGAAATAGCAAATTTGCAAAAAATGGAAAATTAAAAAGTTGAGCGGCCAGATATGCGGGAAGAAGCAGGATCCTCACATTCCAGATAATTGTCACCAGATATGCGATCCATCATGAGTAGCTGTTCAAGACAGTCAAGTCTTTTATCAGGCTTTGTGGATGAAATGTCAAAAGAAGATCAAGAAAAAGCAGATGAGACACTAGCTTAAGCTATTTTTGCAAGTGATACACCTCTTTCCATAACTGAAAATCAATACTGAAAGGAACATTACAAACTAATTCTCCCGTCATATAAGTTACCGTTATGTTATTGCTCATCACACTCTCTCTTAGATGGAGAATATGATAGAGTTCAAACAATGGTTATTCAGAAGATTGGTCAAGCAGAATTGCTGACTCTGACATCAGATGGATGGACTGATATACAAGGAAATCCTTTATTGAACGTTATGTTAGCAACACCTGAACCAATATTCCTGAAAGCACTTGCTACCAAATAGTCTTGTCAATCTCTTCACTCAGTAATTTGGTTATGTATTCACCTGTATGAAAGTGCAGGTCCCTGATAATGTGAGTAACGTGAAAGCTGCATGGCAAATATTAAAGGCAAAGCATCCTCATTTAATAGTATTTGGCTGTCTTGGTCGTGGGTTGAATCTTATGGCAAAGGACATAGTGAGTGTGAATACAATGAAAACAACAATATTGGCAAACTGCACAGCAATTGTGAAGGTATTCAACGATCATCATGTTGCTTATCAGATTTTGAAGAAATTACAGAAAGAGAAGTAAGGGAAGGAAAGTGCACTTTTATTGCCAGGAGAAACTAGATGGGGCTCAGGTACAAAGTGTTTACATAGTTTGCTGCGCACAAAGAACTGCTTGCTGTGTGCTTCAGTAGATGACATGGTATCCCAAATTATCCAGGGTGTGTTCTGGGTTTGAGTTCAAGGAGCATTCAGTTTGCTCCTACCAGTTTTAGTGGCTATCAAGAAACTTGAAGGAGATGCATGCACCAAGCCTTTTAAGTATTCCAGAGAGATTCAGGCAACTGATTGAAAATCCAGTTGTGCTTTTGCCTTTTTTACTTTCTCTCCAAAAAGGAAGAAGTAGTAAAACAAATGTTTACTAAGAGATCTGTGTTTTGCTCTCCTCCAGTCCATCTGGCAGCAAACTTTTGGATCTTTAACACAGAGGACAACACTTATCAGAAGATGAATTATCTACTGCTCTCAGTACATTTATGGAAGTAGCTAAGAGTGTCCCCAACATCGACGAAATAGCCATGATGACAGACATTGCTGAGTACCATGCAAAAAGGAGAAAACTTTGAAGCAAAGACATCATTTGGTGGGCAGCAGAGTATAGTCTCCTCTCACACGGTGGAAGGGACACTGTAACACCCGACTGTTGTCCAAGATTGCTCTGAGGATCCTAAGCATTCCACTAATGGCAGCGTCTTGTGAACAGAATTGGAAGGCTTTCAGCTCAGTCGAGACAAAAAAGAGAAACAGACTAACAAATGAATGCACTGTTAAGCTTATTTCTATTTTTCAAAATCTCTTGCTCCTGAAGAATCAGTCAGAAGCACAATTAGTGAAGAAGATGCAGTGTGATAAGTTGCCCCTGCCCATAGCCTCATTAGTAAAACTATCCTTTAAAGAAAGAGAATGTGGTTCAAGTAGTTCTGAATCAGGTTCGTCTCAATCTGATTCTGAAATAGAACTAATAAGCAGTGCAGGTGATTCTACAGATAGTGACAGTGAAACTGGAGGTGCTGCAATGACCTCAGTGGAAGAGAGTTGAACTCTGTTGAAGTAAATGAGTGGACAACCACACCAGATCATGCACAGTTCTTTGCGTGTGCTAAAATTAGTGTGTCAACATTTTTCAGTGCCTTCATTTTTTTCTTAAATTTAAACACTGTAAAGGAAGTACATGCTATTGTGTAGTGTCTTGACTTTTTTACAAGTATTCCAATAAAATAATTTCCACATAAAACTTTGAATTTGTTTGAATGTAACATTAATATAATATAATTTGAAAAAACCACATTCAGTGTGCTGTATTTAATTTGTTTTCTAATCAAACATTTCAGTTCAAATACTTGTGGCTGTTGGGTCATAAAATTAACATGGGGGTACTTTTTTAGTTTCATTTACTAAATATAAGTCAAATAAACATGCTACATCAGATTGCACTCTATTTAGGGCTTTGGAAAATTTTCCAATTCAAAATTTTCTGGAAAACCCACATCTCTGGTGCCAGGGTCTCTAAAGAGACTGGCCCCAGCAGCACTGGCAAGGTGCATGGCTGGACAGGGAGCTGCTCTGGGGCTGGGATCTTGCAGTGGTGACAGTGTGAGCTGGAGCAGGGGCAGAGCTGTGATCTGTTGCCCCAGGGGATGCAGGCAGTGGATCATGGCTGTCCCAGCTCCAGCCCATGCTGTCACTGCTGGAAGATCCCAGCCCCAAAGCAGCTCCTTGCCCAGCTGTGCCCCTTGCCAGCACTGCTTGAGCTGGTCTCCATGGAGACCCTAGACCCACGCTGTCACAGCCCCACCGCTCCTGGGGTCTTCATGGATACCAACCAGAGCAACATGGGAAGGGATTGCTGAGAAATGGAATTGAGCCAGAAGTTGGATCTACCATTTTACCCACCCCTGGGTTAAAGTTACTGGAGAAACCCCAGTAGACTATTTATGAAGTTGTAGTCACTCTTTAATATGTCTGTTTTAAAGAAAAAAATATTCAGGTCACTTAAGTTTGTTCACCTGAGTCCAGATTCAGTTGACTTAATGTAGAAAATGCTAAAGTATGGGTCAGTCTTTGTGTAAATGCCATATTTGCTTTCAGAAGGGTATTTTTATTTTTCTAGAATGCAGTAAGGAAGTACACAAATGTATGAATTACACTTTAATGGAGACTTGCATAGTAAAAAACCCCAATAATGAAACAGCACCTAGAATGTTATAATAGCTTGTCAATAGATGATGGCTTTCCAAGCAGAGAGCATTGCCTTGGCCAGGGTCCTAAAAGGCTCTGGAGACTATTGACCACCCATGGATATTCTTTTCTTTCCCAATCTTTTCCTACACAGGTTTGGGGACCTGTTCCTGGTTAGTTTGGTACTTTGCCAGGCTGAAAAGCTAAGCTGAGTTTTTCTGGCATGTCTATAATTTGGATAGTAAACTTGTAGTACAGTAGAGCCTGGAATATTTTGTATAGTCATGGTTTGCAACCTTTTTAGTTCCCACTGGGTTGCTGTATTTTGAAAGAGACACTCAGCTGCTTGCTGCTACTTACTGAAAAGGGCTTCTGTTCTCCTGTCAGCCAGAATGCAGCCCAGGTTTTGTGCAGCTGATTGGAGAAGTGGTACCCTTTGAAGTAAAAGCCATAGCAAACTGCTAGAGCACTTAAGCAGTCCCTGGCTGTTGTCTGGCAGCATTTACCCCTGCCTATTTCTCAAACCCACATTTTCATAAGGAAGCAAGGAACCTAATCCTGCAAAAAAAATCTGGGTTATGTTATAGTTACTAACCTTAAAAAGAAGCAGGAAGGTAGTACACTTGTTTCATAATCACACAAACTGATAATAGAAAGGTTCTCTTGTCTTCAAATAATGTTCTCAACTCTTTTGTGGTATGCTTCTTTAAAGGGCTTCAGGAGAAGAGCTAAAGGTCAAGGCTTATCTGCCAGCAGACAAACAGTTTTTGATGACTAAAAATGGTAAGACCTAATGTTTAAATACAATAAAGCTCTTATTTGTTGAGAAAAGCAATGATTGCAAAAAACTAATTGAAACATGCCTGCACTATCAAATCTTACACTGATCATCCCTTTGACAGGGAACCAAACCTCCCCTTATGTCTTCTGCATTTTAATTTTGTGACATGAAAAGCAGTTTTTGATTCTTGTTGTTCAGAATCTTTTCTTTTCTCACAGTATGTCTTAGAATTGGGTATTGAGTGGCACAGAAATTTGGTGTTAGCTTTGCAGCATGCCTTGTTAAAAATAAACTTTTCAAATCCAGAGACATACTAAATAACCTTTTTTTTTCTTTCTTGGCACCACCCTCCCATTGCATACCCATTCTCGTTAGCAGGGGCAAAGACCACAAGTTCAATTTTAAATAGTCTTCCTGCACCCTCACCAGTATGGAATGCATTTGGGATCTTGTGTAAAGACTTCCCAAAGTGCATTGTATGATGACAATACCCTTAGTCCCATGTAATTTGACTGTTTCTGTACAAGTGAAGCAGCTGTGTGCTGTCATGAAATGCAATGAGAACTCCATTGATGGGCACACAAAGGGTTGAAGAGTTGTGCTGTCTGCGTCATTCATTGTGGTGAACAAGAAAGCTTGCACTTCTAGCAAAACTCTGAAGAATTTTTCTTTCACAAAAAGAAATACATCAACAAACTTGCAACAGCAAAAATGCTGGTGAAGTCCCTCTTGACTTGCTGACAAACTATGTAATTGTTGAAGAATAGGCTAATGGGATTATTGTCCTACAGAGTTGCATTACATGCTTCAACTGGAGGTGTACCAATATATCAGTCCATATTATTGGATCGGCTCAGATAAAAGAAAAATTGACATTATTGGCAATCAGCTTTTTTTTTTGGCTGGTATAGCCACTGATAAATGCCACGTGCATGCACGTGGTCAGGAATGAAGCCCGGCAGCTTGGAGAACAGTGTCTGGCCAGTAAGTCTGTTGGGGCAAGGGGTATGGTGGGGCAGATCAAGGCCACCATGGTAAGGGAGGGAATGGAACTGGGGCAGGGGTAGGCGCTGCTCAGCCAGGGCAGGGCAGGGCATGGGATGGAGCTGCAGGTGTCATGCAGAGGGTGTGGGGGGTGGGTCGGCTCTCTGCCACAGCATGTACACCTGGGGAAGGCATGGGGGGCATGTGCCTCCCCGGATTTGTGCGTGGGGCAAGGGTGGGCTGCCTAGTGTGGGCTCGGGGTCAGGGGCTGTGCCAGACTTCCCAGTGTGGGGGCTAGGTCGAGGCTGTGCTTGAGGCGGGTGCGATCGGGATGGGCGGCAGCAGCACTGGGGGGGGGGGCTACAGGGGGGGCTATAGCCACCCCAGAATTCCCTGTTGCCCCCTCCCAGTGCTTACCTTGCCTACCCCAAACCCACAGCTCTGTCCTGCACCCTGCCCTGCCCCACCCTGTCTGCGCAGTGCCTGCCCCAACCTGAACCCCATTCCCTCCTTTACCAGGGAGGCCTCAATCCGTCCTCCCCCCATTCTTACCAGCCAGCTGCTGCTCTTCAAGCTGCCAGGCTACATATAGGCTATCAGATCCCTATCAGCTAACACAGCTAGTTAACAATCAGCCATTGGTATCCGCCAAAAAAATCTTTTAGCGGTGCATGCCTAGCTGCAACTTCACTGTCCCAGTTTAGAGTCTTAATGTCCTGTATTTTGCAATGAATATACTGTTTTATAAAATATAATCCACACCTTCCCCCTCTGCTCACCTCTGCCCCCAACCACCTGGAGAAAATAGGGTTGTGCATTACGTGTGCTGGATTGGGCTTGGCTGTGCAGCATGCCAGATCTAGCCCCCAGCCTCTGAGACCCCAGACCTCTGGCACTTACCCATCCTCCATAATATGATTTCTCCTCCCTCTGTCCCCTTCCTTGGGGCCTTCCAAAAATGGGGTGTGTTTTTTATACTTAGGGGCGTGTTTTATATATATGAGAAATTATGGTAATTAAGTTGCATTCTCCCTGGTGCTGCCTGTTACTGTTTTGTTGTACTGGTAATGATGATGGTTTTGGCTGAAAAAGTTCTACATGTGGCTCCTGTGTGGGACTGCTTTGCCCCTTCTGTCCAAAGGAGAAAAAATTCCAAGATTTCTTGTTTTGTACCGTTTGGGCAAATAACATTAGCACACCTCTGACTTAGCACCATGGAGCATTAATAATGAGTTATCAGGGAAGCCTTCAAAATGATGACTAAAAGACTTGCATGATTCTGATAGGTTTTCTGGACACAGTCTTTCTGTTTATGCTAAGGAAATGTCTGCTTTAAGGCAAATTTGACCTGCACTTCTTTGGTTCAAATATATAGCCACAAAACTTTAAGTTAGTATGTACCTGGATGAGTTCATATACATATGACAGTAAAGATAATCTTAAGTAACAGGTTAATTCTAGTTATAGCCTTTAAACTTTTCCAGCTGGCATATTCTTATCTTCTAACACTACCAGTAAAAATTGCACGTGGGATTCTGACAACAAATCACCTCAAATTGCTGATTCAAAAACAGCCAAGATGTGCATGAAGTAAAAACCACAGTGTCTATGAAATATGGTGTTACTTGACTCTAACATGAGGTGTTTTCCCCCATTTAATGTGGGGGTAAAAAAACCCTTGTCTTAAAATCACTATGGGTATGTCCCAAGAAGTGCACGCATGCAGTGGCATGTTTGCTGCTCTGGCCGCTCAGAGTATGGCTCTGACCAGTCAGGCTTCTTTTCTGGTGGTGCATGCTGCTGCTGCTGCATGTGCCATGCCACTTTTTTCCAGCAGCCTTTTTTTTTTCCCATCAGGATCTCCTAATTAGCACTTTGGCAAACAGGTACATGTACGCTACGTGCAGTTTGCAGTGCCTCAGACTGCTTTGAGGTGCCACAAACTGCGTGTGCACACTTGTCAGAACACCTTATGAGGGTGGTGGTGGCGTAGGTGGCTGCTACGGCTTGGGCTCTAGCCTCTACCTGGGAATGGGGCTGCAGCTGCTGCCTGCCCACCCCTTTTTCATTTCCCTCCCCGACACACAGGTTCTGCTCCCGTGCCTGCCTCTCTTTTCCCCCCTTACCCTTGCTGTGTGCTGGAAGGCTCTGTCCATGCCGCAGCCTAGAGCACAGAGCTCAGCCCTAGTCCAGCCCAGCAGCAGTGCCACACAGCCTACATGGCTGTGACTAGGGCTGTGTTGGGCTGTGCTCTGTGACCCAGGCTAGAATGAGTATGGAGCCTGCCAGTGTGAAGCAAGAGTAAGGATAGGGGAAGAGCTGGGAGCAGAGGCTGAGGGAAGGGGGGAGAAGGAGGAGCAGAGGCCGGGTGGGGGGAGAAAGGGGGCAAGTTGTTTGAC